TTGCGGGCATACCGAGCCTTTAAAATGTTGGTGTACCCTGGTTTTTCCACGTAATTGGGACCGATCAATTTAATGGCGATATCATTACCATGTTCATCAAAAAGCCCACCGACTTTTTTCTTGTTCTTCACCGATACATAACAGCTGATTCTCACTGCTCTCAACAACACAAACTTGCCGCCTTCCATTCGATGATTCATCGTATGTGTGTGTTACCGTTATCGTTAAGCAATTTCCAGAAAGAATAAAATTTCATACTGAAATTAGCTGAAACAAACGGCTACAAAAAATCCATGATCGAAAAATTAGTCAAAAAACATTCCGACAAAATCCATCGAGCGAATATGTCAACGCTATTCAGCCAAAGCCGAAATTCGATCAAGGAAAACACAACATACGTAGCGTTCAACTATGTACCGAAAATCAGCAACAAACTCGTTCACACATTTGAAAAAGATGGAATGAGATTAGTGTACAGCAATAACAACAAGCTGTCAAAATTGCTCGGCACTACAAAAGACGCGATACCAATAAAACAAAAGACCGGCATTTATTGTATTACGTGCAAAATATGCAATAAACAATACATCGGAGAAACAACGAGAGCGCTAGGCACCAGGTTCAAAGAGCACGAATACTGCGTTAAGCACAAACACATGCAATCTTCAGTAGCCAAACACGTCTACGATATCAATTTCGACGCACCGCATCAAATCGGCTCTTTCGAAGAGAGCTGCACACTCTTGAAGAATGTCACTGACTTCAGAAAAATTGATGCCTACGAGTCGTTATACATACACAAACATAAGCAACACCTCATGAACGCAGACGACGTCGGCAACATTGAATCTCACTTGTTCAAATTCGCAAAATAGCTAATTTCTTTGTATTTGTTTTGTTTTGTTTTTACTTCGATCTCTCTCTTACTTTCTTCTCTTCACATCAAAATGAATATTGTAAACTGTTTATCTCACCTCACCAATACTCTTACATGTAAACGAAATAATGTTTTGTATTGATTTTATTTAGTCATTTAATCGCCTTGCTGATGATGAGACGTCACACGTCTCGAAATGCATTCGATAACGTTTTTTGAAATTAAAAAGTAAACGAATTTAGTTAAAACCAAAGACTTTTATTTTTTTATTTCACTGAACATGACTCCTTTGTAGTCAATAAAGAGCCGCGATGTGATAAACATTGATTAAGTGATTAATTGTCACGGTTATCATTTCACCAATGACTAATTGATCACTCGCTTAATCGCAATTCGCCCACGTGTAGTAGGTGTTAGTTATTATAAATTAGAAGAGAAATGACTGCACGAATGATCACATAAGAATTATTTCCTTGAGTCGCTTTTTAAATGTGTTAAGAGAATATTCAGTAGGCAATTGGTTGGCATATGTTCGTGATAGAGCTCAGTGCAATTACGGTAAATGCTTTTGAGTTCAAGATTGGTACGTGCTCTTTCGAAACACGGCCTTGTGTCAGTACTCGTCGGATATCTATGGTTGCTTGTGCTGTTGACATGGTATTTAGTTTTCATTAGCCCCTTTCGAATTTTGTGAATCATTGATATATTATTGTTATGTTTATACTTATTTGTGGTTCTTTTTATTTTCTACAACAATACCGAAGACACCTAATCGTTATCTATTTTCAGTAGTGAGAAAAATGCAAAAGACGTCTTTTCCGCTCAATGCTAACCAAGTAATTACTTAAGTAGCAAAAGTGACACATTGCCCGCAACTTTATTTGTCTATTTTTTGCCCGAATTTTTTTCCGTTTCAGTTATGGATAAAGAGCTCATAAGTTGTTCATTCGTTCTATGGGTGTCAATTGTATGATTCGAAATCATAGTTTTGACATTTTTTTACACTTTTTTCTCGATTTTTGCCTGTGTGGGGGCCGTCTACATGAGAAGTTTGTATAAAAACTCCGTTGTAATATATATCGCAATTATTTTAGATAATTATCTAATTATAATTATATAACTGCGCATGGGAAAATGAAAAATAAAATGCGTTTTTCACAAATTATCAAATTTATTCGGTTCTTTTGTTGAACATCAAATGACAGGGGCAAAAAAGAGACGGTATTCATCTTTTTCAGGCGCCTAAAACCCCTTTTTTCACGCCTATATTCTTCTTCCTTGATTACGTCTTACATTTGGCTCCCGGATCCAATCAAGCAACGGTGCAATCGGTTGAAAAATAACTGGCTGATCAGGTAAATGAATAATGGACATGCCCACGAGTTTGTTATTCTTTTTCGAAATTATTGGACCTCCAAACGTAGAGGGAGTTCCCATGCTTTCATCTAAAGTGTAACACATCAAATGATTTGCATCAAATTTGGGGTGCACTTTCTGTTTGCATCTGGCGCCATCCAAATACTTTGTATCATAACGTCTCAGTCTCTTTATTCCATCCAATACCATATTACCATAGACAGTGACCATTTCGGACGGGTCCTGCATTTTGTAATCTTTGTCTACCAGATCTATGCTGCCGACGTTATCGTTGAACTCCAACGGTTCTTTAAGTGTAATCTTGGTGACTAAGTTCTGTGTGATAGAAGTTGTCATTAAAAGACAGGTGAATTGTAGTCGATGGTTGATTAAAGACTGACGATTTTATTCATGCACTTAAAGACTATATACAATAAATTGCTTAGCTGACTTATTTAAATTCTCCGAATTCTATTCAGGTTATTGTTGCACTTATAACTAAATAATAATTATTTCTTGCTTATGATTCATTATTTCGTGCGATTTCATTATTGTTCGATTCCAGTTAATTCAAAATTATGTCAATAGACATTCTCCGGGCCACCTTTAGCGTGACTGGCGGTGCTCTAAACGGCGAGTCAAATCTTCAGATAGATTTGGCATCGAAATTGCACGTGGTAATCTGATTCGTCTATTACCCCTGATGAAATTTACAACGTAGAATATCAAGCATACAACGATGAACAGAGTGAAATAGTTTACTGAATAGTTATGAATGTCATGAATGTCGATTTTTTCCTTTAATTTAGATTGATTTTCGATGAATTTTAACTGATTTTGTAGTTTAGTCAAATTAGTTTTGGCAAATTCGATCAAATTCGTTGTTCCGTTTGAAATGAATGGCTCGTACGAAGTGAGATTGAATTGGAAATTCGGAATAATGAAATCATGTGGCGCGCGCTCTAAACTCTTTTGGGGCATTAATTCAAAATTATCACCCCGAAGTACGCAATTGTCGTTCAATTTTAGGGTTCCAGAGCCAATAGCGCTGTGGTGATTTACACTATCGCCGCAAATAGATATGAACTTTTCCACATACTTACAGAAAAATAACCAATTGTTCGGCTCTTCGAGTTCTAACCATTGGTAACGCAAATTTACCTTGGATAACTCGCAATTCGAGTTGGCTTCATGATTAAAGAGAGACCACACACAAGATTTGAATTGGCTGGTTAGCCACTTGCGGGGCTCGAAGCAGATGACCATGTCATCTGACTGTTTTTTTGCATTTCAGTTCATGCTTGTTTCTAATCAATTGATATTTTTGCCGATTTAATGACGCGATAATGACTTCGAATTTAGCATTTATTTTCAGAGTTTCGTCATTGTATACAAATGGCGTTTCATACATATGATACAATTGAAACCTTTCGTCGCTTATCAATGGAATGGCAATTCGAAAAAATAGTGTCTTATTTGTGACAAACGGAGTGATGGTTGCCAATTTGTAGAAATCGGTTCCATCCGGAGGTGCCTGTTGGTCTGATAAATATTCACTCATTATATTTAATTGACCCTTTACTTGAGCAGGAGGTATTAGATGATGATCGATATGATTTTTTCTAGCGCCAGTAAGTATGTCCAACATGCTATCTTGTTGATGCTCATAATCAGAGATCATTTGTAAAAGATACACAGACATAGTATGAAAATGCAAAACTGCTTGCTGGTCATTGGTTTGAACACGTACCAAACCTGCTAGATTTATTATGCTTTCTCTCTGATTTATGATTTCCCGCTCATCTTTTTTGATTATATTCATAGTGGAATTTAAAACAGAAGTGTGGTTTTTCAAAAGAGTAAGCAAATGTTCGTCATTTGATTCCAATCTTGACATATCGAGAACGTATTCTCGTCCGAATCGAGAGTCTAAAACTCCAAATAAATCGCCAGCAATGTTTCCAACAATGTCAAGTAACGCTCTTTCTGCTCGATGATGCTTAAACGATACTGTTAACTCATTTCGTTCATTGATGTCGTTGATACGATTTTCAATTAGTTGACAAAGAGATTTGCATGAGCTTTGCCCCGCCAGTTTTTGATTGCATACGTTTTCTAAATCATGTAAACTTCTTTCCATCATCGATGCTTCGTTGAGAAATGATTTCATGTTTACATAAACAATCGAGTTCCAATTGGTGTAACTGAACTTTGCATGCGAAATTTGTTCGAAAAACAAACCCGGCGAGGTGTCAAATTTATTCAATTTGAACGGAACGATTTGATTTGGGTGAGCATTCACTTGAATCACAAAAATTGCAAGCAATGCCGTTATTATCGGAATGACATTAAATGTTTGTTTTGCCGGTTTGGATTTTGTAACCCGTGCTTTACTCGCTGTTTCAGTTTTTGCGTGAAAACAATTACTATGCAAACAATGCAAGTCATTTAAATAACATTGACCCAATAATTGAATCACTCGCATTAAGTGTAGAAATCTCTCCAATTTCAAACGAACAAATTCTTCCTGAAGTCTCGTCGTTCAACAAAATGAAACGAATAATCGCATACTGTTTTCGTTTTGCATCGTTATGCAAAGCAAAACAGGGGCCCAAAGCATTGTCTCCGATTTCGGCTGATGAGCTAAATTTAGCGGAAACAGCAATAATAAAAATCATTCAACGGGAGGCATTTGGTGCCGAAATAAGTGAATTAATGAAGAAAAGATCAGTAAATTTTTCAAGTAACATTCTGAAACTAAGCCCATTCATAGACACTTGGCAACGTCAAATGCGAATCCAGACAATGCGTCGTATTTCTCATGAATTTCTATCTGGTCTTCAGTGACTTTGAGTTGTGTCGCATTTCTTGATAGTTTATTAACGGTCACGTAGACATATGGGGCGCCGAGCACACCATGCGCACAGGTCAAAATCTCCGTTTTCGACAAAATGATTGCATGGAATTTTAGTTGAACATTTTCGTCAGCATCGGCAAAATCTTTTTTGTAAGCAGTAAGAAATTCTGTAATAGAAAAACACCTCAGAATGGATATTTATGTTTATGAATCTTGAAAAATCACCACTTTTTCCTCTCCTCTATTTAAAATATAAAAAAAGTGACGTTAAAATCGGATTGATTTAGTTCGAATTTCGAATGCACACTTACTTCCCGGTACCGTTATATCGGCAATAAATTTAGCTTCGTTAGGTGTAAGCGGAGGTGGAATTGGTTTCACGCTCTGAAATTAATGCAAAAAATGATTTTGTTTGCGTTGTTGAGAATAAACATTGGGGCATTGTGATTAGATACCTTTGGGTCACGAATAAAATCAAGGAATAGAGTAATTGGAAGGAACATTCCGCGGCCAGCTGTTGTCCCATTTATACCCATTGTTATGCCCACGATTTTGCCATTTGTTTTTGAAACGACTGGTCCACCCGAATCGCCACCTGTTATAATTTCGCCATCATTCGTAGCTTCACCAGTTGTAAAGTACAAAATATGACTTGGATTAAATGTGTTGGCTCGTTCGACATCAGACATATAGTTCGCATCGCAACGCCTCAATATCAATGGTCTGATATTGTTCAACACGCCATATCCATAGGCAGTGACCAATTCTGATGGGTTATTCAATTTGTAATCCTTATCCACGAGTTCGATACTACCAACGGTATCGCTGAATTTTAACGGCGTTTTCAGTGTAATTTTGGCAATATCAAATGCACCAAAAATTAAATGACTAAAATAAGGGTGATATGCAACGTTCTCTTTTTCGACTTTGATTTTAATTTTCTGGTTTGCATCTGATACAACTTTCGTACCAGCTACCACATGAACATATGGGGCGTCATACACACAATGGGCATTCGTGATAATTTCCGTTTTCGACAGAATAAATGCGGTACAAACATTCATCATTTTTGTATTGGCATCATTTGGATGGTCTTTGTATTCATGCAAATATTTTGTAATAAAATCGTTTTATTCTCAGTACAAGAAATAATATTTAAAGAAAAAATGAACACACACACAAAATTGCTAGGGGGAAACCGCAAATTTTTCATCTACAAAATTAGTTTGTATCATTCAGTTTTAATACCATCTGTATGTTGACTCAAATATTTGACTAAATCTAAAATCCACTATGAACGATACATTTGACCACCACAATGTGATGAATTTTCTGGCATTGAACCCACACAAATGCATATTCGTTTTAATAACAACGCACAATTGAGAGTTATCATTTGCAGTGAATCGTTTCTAGAGAAAGTTCGAAAAATGTCACAGTTGTAAATAATATATTAATATAAAATCTAGTATTATTTTCAATTTTCTAAAACGTGGTCAGCCCCTAGCGAAATTGATAGAATATTTGAATTTTTCGGACAAAAATTCACACGAAAAAAAAATGAAAATGATTCTAAAGCAGACTTACTTGTGGGGACTTGGATTCCAGCTACAAACTTTGCCTGTGACATAGTTTCAATCACTTCGCCCTTGAGAAGAGCTTGCGAGAAAAAGCCATCTGTTCATTAGAAAAAAAGTTGAAATTTCGAATTGAATATTATGAAAGTATGAAACAATTTTTTGGAATTGTAAAAAGTGTGTTCGAAAACCAAAAAACCGTGTCTTACGTTTTCCTTGAAATTCCTAGAAAGAGAAATTTTGTGTTAACTTTTAGTTCTACAGAAATATCGTATTTTATTGGATAAAAGTGAAAATGATAAAGGAATAGAAAAAACTTACCGAAAATTCAACGATAAATAGCACCGAAAACCAACCTTGTAGTAGATTCATTTTAATTTGCCAACGAAATAGAGTTTTAACCTGTTGCACAATGATAGTAGAGAACCGTCTTGTACTTCTTTAGAAGATCCTTTGAATTCGTTTGGTCTTCCCTATGCGGTGCTGCCTATTTTATACCATTCATACACCAATAGCTGACACGTGCCATGCAACGTATAATTGATCGTGGTATTTTGCAGTTTTGGAATTTATGAATTGAGGTCGAATAACACTATGCAACAAATTTCGAAAACGAAATTCTCTCAAAAAGAGTAGACTCATTTCCAAGGTTTTTTTGGCCCACTTAATCCAAATCTGATACGGAAACCGCAATGACAATATCTTCAAAACTAGACGTAAAAGGACAAACTAACGCCAGATTTGGATTAAGTGGGCCCAAAAAACTTTGTAAATAAGTTCCCTTCTCTGTGCTTGTTTCTTGTTGTTGCATAGTGTAATCATATTCAGACACTAAATGAAGCTCAATTACAAAATTCCTTTGAAAGATACGTGTAGCTGATACAATTTGTGGATATTGATAGCAAAAAAATGGAATACGTCGCACAATAAACGAATAATCATTTTCGAAAACAGCTTTAGCCCAACACACCACTTTTGTGTTTGTTCAGATGGAATGAAACAAAACAACAGCTATACGTGTGCACCAAAGGAATTTTGTCTATGTGATGTTGGAGTACACAGTGATGATAAGAATTTACTTTAAGAGTACTTTTTTGTTCAATTCGTGATGAAGGGTCATCATGTACATATAAATGTGTTGTTTATTATAAAAATGGGATTAGCCAAATGCGCTTAATTACATGGGAATCACATATGCGTTCCTGGTGAGAAATAGGAGGCCAGTTTCTCAAGAAAAAATGAATATCTTGAAACGTTTTAGAACATTGCATGAAATATCTGTCTCCTACCTCTTCAGGAACACAAAAATGGTTCGCATTCCGCAAAATCCTCGAAATCATGTAAGCCATTTGCATAAAAAACACGTTTTCTCGTCATTTCACACAATTTCGTTCGATTTCTTTGCACAAATCAGTCGTTAAATTACATATGAACGGGTGAGATTGAAAAAAGGACATATTCTGGGAATATATATGAATGATACAAAAACGAATGATTTTTTTGAAGTGTAACATCGGCAGGAAATTTTCCAAAAAGAAACACCGCGTGTTACATTTCAATAAAATTTGTTTTCCATGATTCACTTTGAAAAACGTTTGCGGCGATGTTTGGATTCGAAATATTCTTGTGTTGGTGTTGCATTTAATTGATTTTCTTCGCATGTTTTGGTTCAATATATTTTTAATTGATGTTACAGTTCGATGAATTGTCGCAATTAGATAATATTATTAAATTTTTGCATATGGAAATATTTCGAAAACGGCTGGGTAAAACGGCAAAATGGACCGTGATGTCACTCCCTAAGGGAGTGCAAACACCTGGCTGGTTTGATGGCCTAGAATACAAATCCGGTGAAATTTGGGCTGATTCAGTGTCGCGTTAACTATAGAGACGATTGAGGCAATTGCCTCAGGCACCACGCATTTGGGTTAATGTAGTGCCTGCAGAGAAATGCCCAGACGAAAACGCAAATTCTAAATTTTATCTAAGTCTAGGAAAAAAAATGGGCAACTTTTGATCAATTCTTATCTCATGGCTTTCAAATGTTCTGGCTTGTTCAATTCACAACTGAGAACTGGAAAGTAAACTCATCTTGTACTTGCCCTGTTTATTTCAAACAACGCATATGCAAACACATACTTGCCATTGCAATGCGTGACAAAGTGATCGATTGTCCTCAAAATGCCAATCCAGTGCTACTAGCACCCAGAAGACAAGCAGGACGACCAACCAATTCATCGAAAGCATTAATGCATGAATAAAAATATTTCCGACAAGTCAGCCTCGCTCTTTTCGAAATTGTTGAATTTAACGAAATCAAATAAATGAATTGAAAATCAATACAATTTCATTGCAATGTTCATTCAATTTAAGTTTTATTCCATTTTTGACATAAATTCAAATTAAGTTGTTCTTGAACGGAATTAAATAAATTAATTGAAAATCCAATTTGTCTCTCCCTTTTTTTTTCCACAATTTATAAATGGTACTTTTTGTTCATTTATTCTCTTTCGCAAACAAATTCGATCTTCTTAGGAATTCAATTAAATAACTTCAATTTACTGAACAAATAGATATACAGCGAATAAACAGCAATTTATTGGGTTGCACACACATTTTGTCCGCATAAAATGTTTCATTCAATTTGTATGCGTATTCCATTGCAATGTTTAATCAATTTCAATTTAATTTTTTTGGTAAGGTTTTGTATATTTTTGGTAAGGATTTGGCATTTGGTTTAGTACGAATTTGGTTGGTTTTTGGTATGGATTTTGTATTTTTTAGTATGAAATTAGTAATTATTTAGTAAGAAATTGTTAAAATTTTGGTATGAATTTGTATATATTTGGTATGAATTTGCATATATTTAGTACGAATTTGTTACGTTTTGGTATGCTTTTGTAATAACCCATTTGGGGGCACCACAAAGAGAGAAAATGAAAAAAATGGTTGATTTTTTGGTGCCTCAAGAAAAATAATCATGCTCTGAAAAGCTGTTTATGGTGCCCCATAAAGTGCTGTTTTTGAAAAAAATCTCTCTCGCTACCGCTCGCATTTACAAAAATAAATACAGGAATTTTGCGCCCAGCAATATAATACCTACTGTTAATTTTTTTTTCAATTTTTTTTGCTGCATGTTGCATATGAAATTAAAATCTAGACTTAATTAACTTATATTCAATTGAATCTAGATAACCACTTTATTTTTCTTCGGTTCTTTAACAAAAAAAATTCTTCTATCATTTCATCCATATTTAAAGAATCCAAAACTTCGTTTTCAATCGACATCAAGGCAAATGCATTCAGTTCCTTATCCGTCCGTCTTTTATGTATTTTACCTTCGAAAAAGAACGTTCATCTGGCACGTTTTTATTGAACAACGATGTAAAATTCGCAGCATAACATCAATATTCGGGAAAACGGCTTGAAGTTTTTCTTCATGGATTTTCGAATAGATTGAAGTGTGCGAAACGAGAGTACCGGAACTTTCGAAGAAATGTTGTTTGACGATTTCGCATTCAACAGAAATCAATTCGTTTGCATCAAGACCATTTTCATAGAAGGATGTAATTTTATTACAAGCCTTTTGAGATTTGATCGATGTTCAATTTGTTTAATTTAGTTATAAAACTAAATTTGTCGTTTATTTGAACGTAACTTCCCATTCGAGTCTGGTCGTAATGTCGCGAATAGCGAATTAAGAAGTCTCATTGTGATTGTGTGGTGTGTATTGCCACTTCGCTGTTGAAAATTGACATGAAGAGTGTTGAACTTTGTACTAATATTTAAGTGGAACATTTGAAACAGTGTTTATTGCAGCTGATTTGAAAAAAAATTCAAAGGGCACCAAAAAATTTTGCCTCAGGGCACCACAAAACATTAACTCGGCACTGGGCTGATCCATGGATTCTCAGGATTCGACCTGATTAGCACTTCAATTTCTTTCCGTCGTGGTGAAATTCCATACAAAACATAGGTAAAATGACTTTACAGATGCACATAAAAGAGGAAGCACTGGCATCTGGCCAAATCCAGAGAATCCACGGATCAGCTGAAATTTCACTGTATTTGTATTCTAGGCCATCAAACCAGCTGGGTGTTTATACTCTCTTTGGGAGTGACATCACGGTCCATTTTGCCGATTTACCCAGCCGTTTTCGAGATATTTCCATGCGTAAATATTTAATAATATTATATTCAACTGTATTGGCCTATATGGAAAACAATCGAGCGCCGAGAACTTATGCTGTTTCGCTCACACTTATGTGCAATTTTTTCTCGTATTACAAGCTGATGTGTTACGAACAACAGAGCCGCTCGCTTCGTTTCTCTTGGAAATTGACGCGCAATAAATGTTGCACACACTCAATATTGTAAGGCACCAACTCTTCATTACGTTCATTCATAATCGCTTGTAAAGCGAAACATGTTTAATCGTGTTCGTGTTTGTGTGCAATGTTTTTCAAGAGAAACGAAGCGAGCTTAGCTGTTTATATTTATTTAATTCTTCGCTTATGAATATTTTTCTTGAATATGAAAATTGATGTTTGTTTTTGAATAAAAATCGAATTGCATTTACACTGTTGCCAAAAGCATTTATGCTTAGTTTATACGGATAGATCGAGATATGCGACCGTTTCATAGCAGTTATTGCAAAACATATTCACATAAGTATTTTGTTTTGTTTTTTTTTGACATTCAATTGTTCTTTTTATTCAAAAGAATTATCTTCTGTAAACAACAATTTGTACAGACAAAAAATTTTCAAGTATAAGTTATTTTATACCAAAGCATAAATAAAATGCCCTTCGAAACTATTTGAACAAAGAATACAAAATTTTTCAATTTGTCGGAAGAAATATCCCGGATAGCGAATAAAATCTGTTTAGGATTGCGATTTGTGGCATTATTATTGTGAAATGTCAAGGAGTTTAAAGAAGAACTATATCAATAGAAAATGAAAAATGAATCATTTCCAATAGAAACTTTTTTCTACTTGCTTTGTCGCATGCAAATTTTCTTTTTTTTCTTTTCTTTATGTTTTATACAACAACATTTGTTTTTGTTTATGTCTGATGATGATGGCAGTCGAAACATTCGCAGCCACAGAAAATTGGCAGAATATACAAGAAATGAGAAAAAGAGAGCCTCGTTTATCCATTTCTTCAATGCCTATCGCTTCAACCATTCGATTTTTTACATAGCAATCGAGTACGAACTGATGATGGGATCCCAGCTGGATTTAGTGATAATTTTCGGGAGGTGTTATCGATTCATCAGGGCGTGTTATGAGCTGATGTCAGCAGCACTAACTAACGTCAGCTGCTGATATGAGCTGCTGACGAGTATGCGTTGCGTTGTTCTAACGCATTTGTAGTATCAAAATGAAAGGGTGAGTAAACTTACCATTGGTGAGATTGAACATACCAATGGAATGTTTACTAACCATTTTGTTCTTATACTGCAAATGCGTTAAAACAACGCAACGCATACTCGTCAGCAGCTGATATCAGCAGCTGACGTTATTTAGTGCTGCT